TGAAGACCCTCCGGCAGTGCTCTTGGAAGTACAGGGCACCTTACAGAGGCCCTTGAGCCGGGACAGCCACAGCTCCCCTGCCAACTGCACCTGGCTCATCCCTGGCAGCAAGGATCAGACTGTAATGGTCAGGTGAGAAGCGGGGCAAGACCCTGTTCCTCTCCCCGGCTCCTCCCAGCTTTATCATGGGAAAGCCTTCAGGGAAAGCCTTCTTTGTGGAGTTCCCATCCCTGCCAACAGGGGGAAGAGTAGAATTTGATTTGGCCTCGTCCAGCGGTTCCCAACCCTTTTTTGGCCATGCCCCACCTAAGCATCTCTAAAATCCTGATGCCCGCCCACCATGACATATAATTCTTATTACCCAAAAAGTGAGCTCCTATTCACGTGGAGGAAGCCTAAAGGCCATTCACTTGGTCTAAACAAGCTTCCAGAGAGCATGGCATCCATGAAAGAGAAAATAAACAGGACAGTTGAAGTACTGAGGAAGCAATCAGTAATCATTTAATCATTGTTTAAATGATAATAATAATATAAATTGATATGAGAAAATAGAAAATAGAGTTTCAAAACATATAATAGAGAAGTGAAATGCATAAATATGTCACAATTTATACTTATATACTGTATCTGAGGCCCCTAGAACCATAAGAAATGCAAAAAATTCAGTTAACTTATTCTCGAATTGCCCTCCTTAAAAATCAAATTGCGCCCCACATTGGGAACCACTGGCCTCATCTGTCCTAAAAGCCTGCCTTGTTCTGAACCAGACACAGTGAATTGGATCTGGGTGGGGATGGACATCTAACTTAGGTCCTGGTCATCTCTGAAGGTCAGCAGTCATTCTAGAAACATCCTTGGCTTTCTGTATGGCTGCTCTGAGGAAGTCCTTAATCCTTGAATATCTTTGCCTAGGATTCAGAGCTAGTCCTTTAATCAGCTAGAACCTTCCTCAGCCTCCCCAGATCTCTTGAGTAATCCAGGTCTCCCAGGCTCCTCCAACCTTGGGCCATGGGGTTGTGCCCATGTTAATTAAGTACCTGGCTGTTTGCTTCACACAGTTCACTTTTCATGAATTTACCCAGAAAGGGGGAGGTGAAGGGAGAGGGCAATCTGTGGAGAGGCTTTGGAGCAAAGGGATCAAAGTGCCATGGTGATCCCAAGTCTCACTGCCAGGCATTTGGAGGGGATGGCAAGTTCTGGCTAATCTAGCTGTGTGGTAGCTGCCAGTTACTGCTAACACTGTACTTGAGTGACAGTGCTGCAACAACTGGAAAGCAATACCCCTGTTCATATTGCAGTCTCAGAAGATAAGTCTGTTTTTCCATGGGAATCTAGGATATATCACATAATCTCAAGGTGCCACTGGCCTCTGGTAGGACTAGTGCCATTGACTACTAAGGAATTTAGCTGACTGAATTTTCACTTAGCTATTTGAATTGTGGATAAGTAGATGCTTGTGCTTTTGGGGGTAGAAAAGTCCTGGGGAGGAAGAAGCCAGTGGTAGTAATCAAGAATATCTCACAGCCCTGGACGGTGTGGCTGTTAGTTGCACCATCATCCCATATACAAAAAAGTTTATGGGTTCTGTTCCAGGTCAGGGCACATACCCAAGTTTCGAGTTTGATCCCCAGTCACGGCTCATACAGGAGGCAAAGCAATTGATATTTCTCTCTCACATTGATGTTTTTGTCTCTTTCTCTCTCCATTCCTGTCTCTAAAATCAATAAAGTATCCTCGGGTGAGGATTAACAAAAAAAGAATATCTCACATCCTGCTCTCTACCCCTGTAGGTTCCAAAAACTGCACTTGGCCTGTGGCTCAGAGCGCTTAATCCTGCGCTCCCCTCTCCAGCCACAGGTCTCCCTGTGCGAGGCACCTGCCAGCCCTCTGCAGCTACCTGGGGGCAATGTCACCATCACCTACAGCTATGCCGGGGCCAGAGCACCCATGGGCCAGGGCTTTCTCCTCTCCTACAGCCAAGGTAGGCTGGACTGGGTGTCCCTGGGGTTGTTAACACAGGCAGTGGAAGCCCCAGGGAGGAGGGGAGGGCCCCACCAGCTCCGGCGCTTCAGAGCCCTTCTCCATGGTGCCTCTGCAGATTGGCTGATATGCCTGCAGGAAGAGTTCCAGTGCCTGAACCACCGCTGTGTGCCCTCAGCCCAGCACTGCGACGGGGTCGATAGCTGTGGAGATGGCTCGGATGAGGCAGGTTGCAGTTCAGATCCCTTCCCTGACCTGATCCCAGCCTCTGCCCCCGCCCCACCCTGCAATCACACCTTGGAAGACTTCTATGGGGTCTTCTCCTCCCCTGGATACTCACACCTGGCGTCAGTCTCCCACCCCCAGTCCTGCCTCTGGCTGCTGGACCCCCACGACGGCCGGCGCCTCGCAGTGCGCTTCACAGCCCTGGATCTGGGCTATGAAGATGCAGTGCATGTGTACGATGGCTCTGGGCCCCCTGAGACCTCCCGGCGGCTGCGCAGGCTCACCCACTTCAACAATGGCAAGGCTGTCACCGTGGAGACGCTGTCTGGCCAAGCCATTGTGGCCTACCACACAGTTCCTTGGAGCAGTGGGCGGGGCTTCAATGCCACCTACCACGTGCAGGGCTATTGCTTACCTTGGGACCAACCTTGCGGCTTAGGCTCTGGCCTGGGGGCCAGTGAGGGCCTAGGTGAGCGCTGCTACAGTGAGGCACAGCGCTGTGACGGCTCATGGGACTGTGCCGATGGCACAGATGAGGAGAACTGCCCCAGCTGCCCACCTGGACACTATCCCTGTGGGGCTTTTGGCACCCCCAGTGCCACAGCCTGCTACCTGCCTGCTGACCGCTGTAACTACCAGACCTTCTGTGCTGACGGAGCAGATGAGAGACGTTGCCGGCACTGCCAGCCTGGCAACTTCCGATGTCGGGACGAGAAGTGCGTGTATGAGACATGGGTGTGCGACGGGCAGCCAGACTGTGCTGACGGCAGTGATGAGTGGGACTGCTCCTATGCCCTGCCCCGCAAGGTCATTACAGCTGCAGTGATTGGCAGCCTTGTGTGCGGCTTGCTGCTGGTCATTGCTCTGGGCTGCACCTGCAAGCTCTATGCCATTCGCACCCAGGAGTACAGGTCAGCTGGCTTTAGAGGAGTGGGGACTGAGGGTGAGACGGAGCCCGTGCTGCCACAGGAGACCAGGAGGGTGCCCATGTGGGGGATAGGCTCAGTGACCAGCCTATGGGTTGGCTCGGGGTTATCCAGCTTCGGGAAAGAGGTTCTTCTTTGAGGAAAGAACAGGTCTATCTTCTGAAAGCCATCGCAAGGAAGGAGGGGACCTCAGATGACTTTTGGGAAAACCATGGTATAGCTTCAGTTGTCCTATCCTGGGTGTGGAGGGAAGAGGCCTGTCCAGGTCGGGACAGGCTACTGTAGCTGGGCCACCTGTGACTGAGCAGCCCTCATTCCTTCCAGCATTTTTGCCCCCCTCTCCCGAATGGAGGCTGAGATTGTGCAGCAGCAGGCACCCCCGTCTTATGGACAGCTCATTGCCCAGGGCGCCATCCCACCTGTGGAGGACTTCCCTACAGAGAATCCTAATGATGTAAGTCACTACCCCCAACCCTAGCTCATGCTGCCCCCAACTCCACTGTGGCCCTGCCACTGTCCCTTCCTCCTTTCAGGCTTCTGGCCCTCATCCCTCCGACTGATGTCTCCTCCTCTCCTTGCAGAACTCAGTGCTGGGCAACCTGCGTTCTCTGCTACAGATCTTGCGCCAGGATATGACTCCAGGGGGTGCCTCAGGTGCCCGCCGCCGCCAGCGGGGCCGTACTGTCCGCCGCCTGGTGCGCCGTCTCCGCCGCTGGGGCCTGCTTCCTCGAACCAACCCTCCAGCCCGAACCCCTGAAACCAGACCCCAAGTCACACCTTCGGATGCTCCCCTTGAAGCCCTAGATGGCAGCACAGGTCCAGCCCGTGAGATTGGGGCAGTAGGTGGGCAGGATGGGGAACAGGCACCACCACTGCCTGTCAAGGCTCCCCTCCCATCTGCTAGCATACCTCCAGCCCTCCCTACTGTCCTGGAGGCCCCAGGGCCACTGCCTTCAGTGCCCCTAGAACCATCACTGCTGTCTGGAGTGGTGCAGGCCCTACGAGGCCGCCTCTTGCCCAGCCTTCGGCCGCCAGGACCAGTCCGGCCCCCAGGACCAACCCAAACCCCACCTGAACCCCACACGATAGTCCTGTCCCCAGAGGATGAAGACGATGTACTGCTGGTGCCACTGGCTGAGCCGGGAGTCTGGGTAGTTGAAGCAGAGGATGAGCCACTGCTTGCCTGAGGGGACCTGGGCTCTCCTGGGGGCTCTAGTCACAGTGACAACCACCCTTTAGAAACAGCCCAGCTTCACTCCCACTACTTCCCTCCCTGACCCTATATCTGAGGGGACTTGGTGAGCCTCCCTTTGCCCTGTGTAGCTGCTGTCAAGTTAGGTGTCCCTCAGGCAGAGAGAGGGCTCATGCAGAGCTCCCGCTGCACCTGGCCAGAGATCACAGTCTCTTCACCACCACCCTCTCCTCACACCACCACCATTTGGGTGGCTCCTTTTAAAGAGTAAAGTTCTTAAGAGGTCATAGGCCTGAACACTCCATCCTTACCAATCCCCCACCAAAAGTGGCCTTAAGCACCAGCGTGCCAATTGGCTGGAGACCTCTAGCCCCCAAGGGGAAGATTTAGGCAGGGCCTGTGGTTTTGCCAACTGTGATCCTTCCTATAGGGCCTGGCTCAAAAAAAAAAAAAAGCACAACAAATGCTTTTGTCCAATAGCTAGGTCATTGCCCAGAAGTCAAGGTTGAAAATAAAGGAATCAGAAATTTAAGATTTTTGTACATGAGCTGTGAGCCTGAGCCCTGCGTCTCTACCCATCTCCGCTTATACTCACCTCACTTTGCTCCTTCCTGTCTGTGTAGGCCTTTGCTCTCCCCTCTTCCTATTGATCTAATCACACACTCTTGATTTTTTTACCACACAGTGGGTAAGAAAATCCTAAGGATCCTAAGAACCAACCCTTTCCACCTCCACTCACCACCTGGGGCCCAACTCTACAGTGATTGACACCAGGGTGAGCACCACACCTCTTTATTCACTGCCAGACCAGAGCCTGGTGAGCCTGCTGGGCCCTGTAGCTGGAAAGGTTTCCATTTATGGAGTACTTGCAGAGTACAGATCACAGGAGCAGATTGTCCCTGGTAGAATATGGGAGCGGTGACTCCTGCCCTCCACCCTCTACCCCCACCAGACAATTACAGTCTGTACTAGGCAGATGAGCTTTTAACAGGCTGCTTCAAAGCAGGCAAAGGTGAATTGAGAGAAAAATCAAACATTCAGAATGTGAAGATGCTGGCATCTACTTGGCCAAATCTAAGAGGTATTCCTGGAAGAAGGCCCAACTAGATTAAAGAACACTGTCAGTAGTTGGAATAGAGTTGTGAATTCAGGCATGGTGAGTGTCCACCGGAGAAGCAAACTAAGCAGACTTGAGAGTGAAGGCTCTAATAAGCTGGACCCTGAACCTCAGAAAAGGTGCAGGAACGCAAGCAGTAGCCAGAGCCAAAGAGCTGGAGAGGGTGATGGAGGAGGGAATGATCTGTGAAAATGTTGGAACGCAGCCTCTGGTAAGCAAGGTGATAGAGCTGTCCCAGAGTTTGACGTGAAAATCGGGACAAAGGATTTAGAAGGAACTATGGGGGTGAGCCTTATGCCCAGAGGCAGAGCTGAGGCATCCCTGACCGAACACGCTCCCCCATCCCCAGGGAAACCCCCAGCCTCGTCCTCGCCTTTCCTGCCTGGCCTGGCCTATCCCCACCCTCTGGTGGAGGGCCCTGTTGATTATACCCTGTCAACCTTACATGCAGTGCGGATTGCATAATGTTTCCTCCTTCCCAGTGAGCAAGAGCCTAAGGAATGGCAAAAAGGGTATATGGTGCAGTCCTGGGACCCTGGCGTCTTGGCTCGGGAAAGACCCGAGTTCCTTTCACTGCAGATCCTCTCCAGAGATCTCCCTTCTTGCTTACTGTTCTTCCTTCGGGCCTTCCTTCCCCAGTGCAGCAATCCCTGGGTCCCACCAGTGTCCGGCCCAGTGACACAGGGAATGTTGATTTCCCCTCCCATTCTTCCGTCACCTGGTCTCTACCTTCTTCCTGCTCCTGTCTTCCCTGCAGCCATCTCAAAAACCTTCAACCTGGTATCTTCACCCCTTGTCCTACTCGAGACCTTTTTTTGTAATGAAAGTGGACAGAGATTCAAGGTAAAAGAACGCTCCCCGTGATGGAACTCCTCAGAATGCTGGAGGGAGGACTTGAAGGTAGAGTTCACTAGGAATGCCTGTGTGTATAGATTCATGAGCCTAAAAGAAGCTTCTCTGGGTGCTGGGTGTGTGCTCTGGGAGATGCAAGCAGTAACACCATTAGCAGCCACAGTGAAGCTCCAGGTTGATGGGGAGAAGGAATTGGCCTCATACAGGCAGTAAGAGAAATCTAGTAAAACAGAGGGTCCTACCCAGGAGAGGGTGGGACATTGGGGAACATTCACCCAAGTTTATTTTAACCATGGCCCAAGGAAAAAGAGGAGGCAACTTCAAATACTATCAGGATAGATACCACTATCTGTGGTGCCCAATATCAGGGCTGAAAGAGGAGGTGGTGGTGTTCTCAGCTTAAGAGGGGGATCGGCTGGAAATGTGAGAACAACAGAATTCAGTCCTTAAGGAGCAGAATCTGGGCCTGAACCAAGTTCCGGTCCCTGCTGGGAAGGAAGGGGGTCCCCCTGCCACACAGAAGAGGCCGCGGAGCACCAATAATTGGGCTCCCTGCTAAGGGTCAGATCCATTACCCCATGTGGCCAACCCTCATGACAAGGCAGTGCCATGGGCATCACAACCACACGAGCCAGGTCACAGGTTCAGAGCAGCACCCAAGGAATTAGGAGACTAGCCTAGTCTCTACCGAGAGGCAGGTTTAAACCTGGGCTGGTTCGCTTCCAAATCTCACCCTTTCCCACTATTCCATAGGCTCTCCCATTCCTGAGGGAGCTTGGAGATGGATGAGCAAGTATACAGCCTCTTACCCGTGAGGAAGAGAGATGGTGGTTCAAGGTGAAACCCAACCTGTTCCTGTGGCCTAAGGCTGGTTTGAGGGCAGGCAGAAGTCATAGCCAGGAATCCTTGCTGGGTTCAGCAGCCCCTGACTCACTCATCTGATACCAGAAAAATGAATCCAACCACCTCATTGAGTTTTCCAGCTACATCAAGCTCACACCTTTATACTTTAAAACTTCTCTAAAAACTCCTTTTGGAAGGAAATCATTCTAAAACATTACACTCATATGTAGCTCATTGGTGGTCTCCAGACAGCGCTCAGCGGTGGAAGTCGGGGGTGGGAGCAGCCCCTGGGAGCCAGAACCTAATAGAAATCTTGCCGGGATGCTGAGGATCACACAGAAACCAATGGCTCCTGCTAAGCTATGTTTTCAGAAGTTACAACAGTGTCAGGGGGCTGTTTGCCTTTATGCCAAATGGTATTAGAGCGCCTTTAAATGCTTATGACTGCTTTAAAAGGTTTCTGTGGTGTTGCTTCCCTACTACCAGGCTATCAGGGGTCACTTGCTGCTCTAAATGTGCTTCTGATCTATGTGTACACGAACACACATGGACACATTAAAATTGTGAATAACAGATAAATAGTCCATAATTGAAGACTGGAGAGTCTATCCTATGAGTAAAGCGCATGAATATTGTACCTGCTCAGGAATCCTTTCTGCTCCCACTAGACCCCACAATGTTGCCCTGTAGTTGGTCTCTAGATAAATGAACTGTTACTGCATGTTAATCCGATTACCATTTGCCTCTTCGATTGGAAAAGCCCACCAAAGATTGCAATATGGATTGTTCCCAATAATAGGAGACAGTTGGAATACTTAAGACAAGGAAGGCAGCATAGGGTAGAGATGAAGAAGCATCTTTGGCATTGGAAAAATGTGGGTGAGAGTCCTGGTGTCCCTACTTTTTTTCCAGCTGCATGATTGATTTGGAGGCAGGCCATCCGCCTACCACTCTGAGCCTTACAGCCATGAGGATGAAAGATATTGTAGGAAGACCTGACAAAAATGGGGTCAGCAGGGGCCAGGAAATCAGAATGTTTGGGTGCTTGCAGGTGTCAGGAAGGAAGACCAAGAGTAATTGGGCAGGAAACGAACAGTAAATGAGACACCCATCCTGGCTTTACAGAAGGCGGTAGACACTGGGTCTGCCTTGTGTAGCCCAGAAGCCCTGGTGGCTGTCCCAGAGAGGGACTCAAGGGGAGGGGCTAGCACTCTGTACCCCACCCTTCTTTCCTGCTCCGATTAACACTAGGCTGGTGGGCCTGGCAGGGAGGGAGAAAAAGGAAGTCCCCACAATGGTTTGCAGCACCTGAACTTGGTGATGAAAGGAAGCAGCACAAACAAAGCAACCATCTCTCCTTCCTCAAAGCCCCATCTACCTAGGGACCAGGCTGGGAAACGGGTACTTCTCTGGGCCTTAGCCCAGAAGGGGTGGTGTGGGGAAGGAGAGAATGGCAGGGAAGCTTGGTGGCAAGGTGGGTGCCTCCTGTCTCTGCAATTCTTTTGGTTTCTACCTCTAGCCCTCCATTTAGCCACAGAGCACCTACTCTGGGCTAGACTTTGGGCTAGGGGGCTGGGAACACGGAGATAAATCATGCATAATCCTGGCTCCTGGAGAAAGACCTCTCGGTCCTGTGTCCCTGCCTCCTGCCTTCCTTACCCACCAAACCCTCGCCCCACTTCTCTGAGACCCTGTCTCTTCTGCTGTCTGACTTTGTTCTGTTATGTCTTACCCGGACTCTGCAGTGTGTGTGCTCCCAGAGGGAAGCGACACAAAGGGGGGAGGGCAGAAAGGAGGGAATCCCGCTGACATCACTGTTCATTAGCATGTGTGACCTCATCAGGGGCGGGACAATTTCCCCAGGTGTCTAGGGGGGAGGACACGTGGTGGGGGGGTGGTATTTAAAGGGAAAAGCTGACAGTGCTGCTAAATGAGATAGCGGTGCTGCTGGTCGCCCGGGCTGCACACACACGCACACCGATGCATTCGGACCTGGACGCCGACATGGACACGGACACAGAAACCACAGCACTCTGCCCCTCCGGCAGCCACCAGAATTCCCCACCAGGGACGCCCACACCAGGTGAGGCAGAGCGGGGCAGATTTTGGCTGGAACCATGGGGGTGGGAGCCGAAGCTTTGTGGGGAGGTCAGAACTAGGGGGTTAAAGGAGCTTGAACCCAAACAGCAAGAAGGGTAGAGCAAGTTGGAAAGGGGGGAAGCCGCCCACTCACACTAGGAATGGGGCTGAACTGGGGGGTGGGGGGGAAGAGCTGCTTAAATACCCCCCTCCCCCTCACTCTCAGGGCTACGCTGGGGAAATTTGTACTTGGCCCCCTAGGTCCGACTCATTCCCAAGAGGCAGGAGGAAAGGAACGGGAAAGGGAAGGGGCGGCCCCCAAGCCTGGGAATCACGGGCAAGGGGCTGCCCTGGGGACCTGTTGTAAGGGTTTCTTCTGGCTCCTGGAGGCCCTGGCTGCTAGCCAGGTATTGATCCTGGGCTATTTCCAGCCTCTCTCCATCCCCCTTTGTTGTGTCTGTCCATCTTCCTCCTGTTACCCTGACCCATGCATTGTCACGCTCTTATGCTCCTGCTCTTTCACTGTCTCCCTCTCCCACCCTCCCTCTTCCTCACCATGAACACAATATTTTCTCCAACTCACGGAAACAGCCAGGGGTGCAGGATTCTCACGCACTGGGGGATACTCACCTACAAGGCCACAGGAAGAGGCAGCCCCTCTCATGCACACACCCAGAGACACAAAGCACACATCTCAAAGAGCAAAGGACCTTCCCTGAGATCGGGCTCCCCGCAAAGTTTTTTGACTACCACTACCCACCCCCACAGAACATGGGCAGCAGCTTCAGTTTCTCATCCCGGAGCCAGCAAGCCAGGGGGTTGCCAGTGCAGGAAGCAGCAGGGGCAAGGCCTCTTGGCCGAAGGAAGAGCAGCCCCCGGCCAGAGGGTGTGCCTGTGTGTCAGTGTGAAGTGTGAGTGGGTGTGCAAGGCTGCACACAGGCGCCTCCCCTGCATGGGGCAGTTTTGAATAGGTTGTGGCTGGAGCCACTTTGGACAAGCCATCAGGTCAGCTCCTTAGCGCCCCACCAGTTCAGGCTTCTGGGAGAGTTTTGGTGTAAGGGGTCAGACCAAAGATTCTCAGCTCCTTCTGGGTCATGGTCATCAACTGGGCCTCTAAAGCTGGAGCAACCAGGATTGAGCCCTGTGCAGATGGCTAGGCACACCCCGCTCATACCTTCTTTCTCTTTGCCCCCCAGAAGCAAATGCCACCCTGCTGAAGAAGTCAGAGAAACTGTTGGCAGGGTTGGACCGGAGCGGGCCACCCTCTGCCCCCGGGGTCCCCAGACGAAGAGGCAGCATGCCTGTCCCCTACAAGCACCAGCTGCGGCGGGCCCAGGCTGTAGATGAACTTGACTGGCCACCTCAAGCCTCATCCTCTGGCTCTTCTGACTCCTTGGGCTCAGGGGAGGCAGCCACCACCCAAAAGGATGGCATCTTCAAGGTCATGCTTGTGGGGGAGAGTGGCGTGGGCAAGAGCTCCTTAGCGGGCACTTTTGGCGGTCTCCAGGGAGACAGTACTCATGAGCCGGAGAATCCAGGTATTTCGGGGAGCCCTGCAAGGGTTGAGGGTGCCTCCAGAGCTAGTCAGGGATGGGAGAGCTCAAGGCATGAGCAGCCCCTGGGAGCCAGAACCTCAGAGAAGTTTCTCCAATGCTTTTTGTGGCAACCTCCCTGGAGGACGGTCCCTGGTTCTGGGATCTGAGGCATCCCTGGCTACCAGGTCTCACAAGTGTTGGGAGCTTCCTAATGGGCACTATTCCCTGTCCTTATTCCCAACAGAGGACACCTATGAGAGACGCATCATGGTGGATAAGGAGGAAGTCACCTTAGTTGTTTATGACATCTGGGAACAGGTGAGAACTAACATGCGGCTGCAAGCTGGTGATGACCCCTGGGAGAACTGGGGAAGGGCAAAGCCTGGGTGAAGGCTGGTGGGACTGCAGGCGCTGGTTTCAACACGTGTTATCATCTTAGCAAAGGCCCCCAATAGTGCGCATGTCATGGCCTCAAGATCCACTTCTCTCCAGGGTCTTCTGACCCAGAGGAAAGTTAGGATTTGAATTTGGCGAACCCTGCAGCTGCAAGCCAGGCTAAACATTCTGAAACTGACCCTATCCATACTTTTTTTCAGCCTGGAAGAGTCTGACCCCTCAAGAGTTCAGGGCTCTGGCATGTCAGGGAAAGAAAAAGAGAAAGTGAGGACTTGTGAACGTTTGGATGTAAATGGTTACTATATAGAAACAAGAGACCAGGTTACATAACACTTGAATAGCAGTCATTTCTTAAACTTTCTTGAGCTTATGTATCAGAAAATAGGACGGGCTACCCTAGCCTGGGATCCTGTGTCTCCAGTTCCCCAGTGTGGGCTCACATTACTAACTTGCGCCTCCCCCACAAACACACCCTGGACATGGAGATTCTGCCATTCACTAGCTCTGCTGTTCCACACAGGTGGTTTCTCCCTCACATCCTGATTCCTCGTCCTCGAGATCGTAGGTGCTGGGCAGATTTTCCCTCGCTTCCCCGCCCTGACATTCTGTGACTTCCCGCCCATCTGCAGGGGGATGGCGCGGGGTGGCTGCAGGACCACTGCCTTCAGACCGGGGATGCCTTTCTCATCGTCTTCTCAGTCACTGACCGACGAAGCTTCTCCAAAGTTCCAGAGACTCTACTTCGACTCCGCGCTGGGAGGCCCCACCATGACCTGCCCGTCATCCTCGTTGGAAACAAGAGTGACCTGGCCCGCTCCCGGGAGGTCTCACTGGAGGGTGGGTATCCTGAACCGCGTCCATACTTGCCATCCTAAGGTATCTTCTCCCTTCCAAGTCACCTCTTTTGCATAAGGCGTTTTTACCGCCAGCTGCACAAACTTAAGGACATTTAGCCCCAGGCTAAGCGCAGTCTCCCAGTGCCCATGCCTAGGGCCCTGAGCAGCTCCTCTCTCCACTCCCCGTCACGTCTTCTCACTGCTCCCTTTTCCCTCCCCTCGATCCCTGCTTTGCCGTCTTCGCCTCAGCCCCTTTCCAGGGCGCACCCTGCCCCAGGCCCAGTGCACCCGCAGGCGCCTGATCCCGTCCCTCCCCGCAGAGGGCCGCCACCTGGCAGGAACACTGAGTTGCAAGCACATCGAGACGTCGGCCGCGCTGCACCACAACACGCGGGAGCTCTTCGAGGGCGCCGTCCGCCAGATCCGGCTGAGGCGGGGCCGGGGCCACGCGGGGGGCCAGCGGCCAGAGGGGGGCAGCCCCGAGGGCCCCGCGCCACCCGCGCGGCGCGAGAGCCTCACCAAGAAGGCCAAGCGCTTCCTTGCCAACCTGGTGCCCCGCAACGCCAAGTTCTTCAAGCAGCGCTCTAGGTCGTGTCACGACCTCTCCGTGCTCTGAGCCGCGGTCGCCATGGTCACCGCGGTCGCCATGGTCACCGCGGTCGCCATGGTCACCACTCTCGGCTCGCCCGCTCGCCCCGCCACGCCCTGTCCGACTTCCTTTGTGAAGACAGCCAAGGCTGGAGGGGGGGGGGGGGGGGGGATGTAGACTAGGAAACCAAAAACTCCCAGGACGCCCTGGTGTGACCACGGTTAGAGGGGGGAGGGGCGGTCTCTGAAATACCCCTCCGCCCCTGGGCGCAGGAGGCAGTGCTCAGACCCGAGGGCGGGCGCGCCGGCGGGCAGGAAGGAAAATCGTTCTGCAAGGTACGGTATTTTGTTCATTACTTCGCGCTTTACCACCTCTCCGGTAGAGACCCTAAAACCGAGAACTGGAAAAGTGCTTGGGAGACTCTTTTACAGGGTTTTCCACCTTTGTACTGTGCACGAATATGCCTCACCTTTAAGAGATTCTTAAAGGTAAAGACACGGAGACCCTTCTTGGAGACTTTTCCTACAATGTTCTGGCTCTTATCTGCTGCACTTGTCCACTTTGCCTTTAAGAAGTTCTTAAAGGCAAGGGCCTGGTAGTGCTATTTTTTGAGAACTGATTTTGTGATTTATCACTACACCACGGCACTTCCCCTTTAAGGCTCTTAAAGGTAAGGTGTGGACAGACTTTTGCCTTCAGATGCCAGCGTGAGGAGCTGAGCGGGGTGGTAACTCCCCTTTGGCCAGGGCCCAGGAAGTACCAGCAAGGGTCCACCCTTCCCTTTTGAATAAAGAATTTTTCTACTGCACCTGTTCACTTTGACTTTATTTTCAACGCCCCCACAGAAGGGATGGATGTGGGAAACACTTGTCTGTTACAGACAAGAAAACTCAGGCCCGAAGGAGCAAGGAACCTAACTCTCTAGGGAGGCCTCGGAACTGACTTAGTCCTGATGTAGTCCGTGACCGGTGACCACAGCCCCTTGGAGATGATTGGGTCTAACTCGTGCCGTTGCCTTGCCGTTGAAGAAACAGGCCTGGAGAGGAGCTAGAAGTAATTTATCTGCCAGAAGTAATTTAGTACCTTAGTGACACGTAGTACCCAGTACCCATCTCTTGACCCTACCTTATACTGCAAGAAGCGGGCTGGAGGCTACAGTTAGCTCCCAGAGCTACGTTCAGCTATGCCCTGGACTGGCTCCAGGTGAGGCCCACACCCACCGGAGAGGCCCACCAGCTGGGTCAGGACGGGGTCAGCCTGCACCTCCCTTGACGGCTCCACCACCCCAGCTGTCACCTGCGAAGCCCGGGTGAGAACTGAAGCTGTCAGTGCCTTCCCTGCTGACGCCCACGCCTGCTGCTGCCTGAGCCACGAGTTTGAACAAAGGGAACAGAGGCAGCAGCTCCCCTCACACTTACACATGCAGTGCAGTTACCTGAGCACCCAGGGGCCAGGCCTCCGCCTCACCCCACTCAGGTTCCCAGAACTTGATGGAAAGAGGAAGGAGATGTCTGTCTTCTTAGTCCTTACAGCTGCAGAGGGCCAAGTGAGACCAGCCCAGCATGAGATATGATAGGGACACTATCCTTAGGACTTTATTCACTTTATCTGTTAATTCTTTAATGACTATATAAGGTGTTACTACCTGTTTTTACTGTGGAAGAAACAGTTTAAGTAACCTGTCTGAGAGTTCAGTAAGCAGAGCTGGGATTCCACTCATGTCTGCTTGATATTTAATGATTTTATCAACCTTTGCATCTGAGGTTCCCTTTCCAGTAAGGATGGGGGGGGGGGGGGGCAGGGAGAGGAAGAGGAACAGTAGAAGAAATGCAGGCAACACAATGAGCAGGGCCGTGGGCAGTGGCTGTGGTGACAGGGCCAGAGAAATGACATGGCTATAGTAGAGTAAGCCAGCTCTAATCTCTGGGGACCATGAACAAAGACAGTTCAAATGTTAAAATGCAGGAAAACACACTGGGCCCATTAAGAGACCAGATGGTTCTGCAGTTTAATTGAAACTTCAGAGACATGAAGGGGAGGGTAAGAGAGGAACATGGAAAAGGTTTGAAGCCCTATTACAAAGGACCTTAAATGCTGGCAAAGGAGTTAGTGCTGTAGGCAATAAGATGGATGGTCTTACCCTGACCAATTTGGCTCAGTGGATAGAGCGTCGGCCTGCAGACTCAGGGGTCCCAGGTTCGATTCCAGTCAAGGACATGTACCTTGGTTGTGGGCACATACCCAGGAGGGGGTGTGCAGGAGGCAGCTGATCGATGCTTCTCTCTCATCGATGTTTCTAGCTCTCTATTCTCCCTTCCTAACTCTCTATCCCTCTCCCTTCCTCTCTGTAAAAAATCAATAATATATACTTAAAAAAAAAAAAGATGGTCTTTGGGAAAAAGAAGCTGGGAGAGGTGTATATGGATTAGAGCAGCAGAGGCAAGGCCTGAGGACCTGACTGTAGGAACCAATCACAAGTGTTACATCTGAAGGGCAGTGAAGGACCATCCTGAGACAGATAGCAGTGGGAAAGTAGAGACAGCCTGGGTATGAGAGTCAGAATAGATGGGACTTGGCAACTGAGTGGCTGGGTATAAAGAGGGAGGAGTTGCAGGTTGTGGGAGGATGCTAAGGCATTAAGAGTTAGGGTTAGCTCAGCTGGTATGGCCCAGTTGGTTGAGTGTCATCCCATGCACCAGTAGGTCACCAGCTGAATGCCTGGTCAGGGCACATGCCTGGATTGTGGGCTCGATCCCCAGTAGGGGGCATGCAGGAGGCAGTTGATTGATGTTTCTCTTTCATCAATGTTTCTATCTCTCTCTCCCCCTCCCTTCCCCTCTCTGAAATTAAAAAAAAACATTTTTTTTTAAAAGGGTTCAGCCAGTGTTGCTCAGTGGTTGAGCATCAACCCATGAACCAAGAGGTCATTGGTTCAATTCTCAGTAGGGGCACATGCCTGGGTTGCAGGCTCAATCCCTGGTTGGAGTGGGTACAGTCTCTCTCCTTTCTTCTCTCTAAAATAATTTTTTTAAAATATATTTTATTGATTTTTTACAGAGAGGAAGAGAGAGGGAGAGTTAGAAACATCGATGAGAGAGAAACATCGATCAGCTGCCTCCTGCACACCCCCTACTGGGGATGTGCCCACAATCAAGGTACATGTCCTTGACCGGAATCGAACCTGGGACCCCTGAGTCTGCAGGCGGACGCTCTATCCACTGGACCAAACTGGTTAGGGCTAAAATAAATTTTTTAAAAAAGAAGGTGGAAATACAGTCACCAGAGGCTACTGCCCAGGGAGGAGGGCTTTTCTAGAGGAAGAGTACCACCAATGGTCAAAGGTGGCAGTGGGGGGGGAATGAGAAACAAGAAAGCCCAGTGCCTTGCCCAGCCAAGGTGGCTTAGTGGTTGAGCATTGACCTATGAACCAGGAAGTCATGGTTTGATTCCCAGTCAGGGCACATGCCTGGGTTGCGGACTCAATCCCCAGTGTGGGGCATGCAGTAGACAGCCGATCAATGATTCTCTCTTATCATTGATGTTTCTATCCCTTTCTCCCTCTTCCTTCCTCTCTGAAATCAATAAAAATATATTTTAAAAAAAGACAGAAAGTCCAGTGCCTTTCATGTGGCAGAATTCTGAAGATGATGATGGCTGGACGGGGAACCACATACACCACAGGCTTCCCTCCCCCAACTCAGCCAGTCTATCAGCCGACCCATCTGTGTGTTCCCTCCAGACGCCTACAGGGAAGAGCTCAGAACAGAAGGAAACTGAAGTCACGCTCCTGCCAGACTTGGGAGAAGTGGGGTCTTCTCTAAGAGCCAGGCCATTTTTCTTCCTCCCTTGATCAAGGCAAAGTACAGCCTGGCTGCTGATCTGGACTGGCGTGAGAGATAGCCAAGGGCCCTGGGACCCGAGCTGGCTGTGCCAGGAAGACCTCCTCTGCTCTTGTGCTCCCTTAACCACTGTGATTTTGTCATGGGGTCTGTGCTCTTACCAGCCCACCCCTTATCCCCATCCCCCTAGCACATAAGGCCTTCTCACTGGCCCAGAGCATAGGCTGTGCCCTCCCCTAAGGGGACAGGAGAGAGGCCAGTCCTGTGTCTTGGAAGGTATTCCTTCCTCTGCTTAAAGTTAGGTCATTAGGCCCTGCGGCATCTAATAGTTTCTACAGAGACTGGACCAGGGTCTCTTGTCTTCTGAAAGGCTGCCAGTCATGCAATGACAACTTCACTGCATGGGTTAAACACTCACTCCCAGAAAGTCCACTCATATGTACATCTTTTATTAAATTAACACTAGAGGCCTGGTGCACAAATTCATGCACAGTGGGGCCCCAAGGGAGGTGGGGGTGGGGCCGGGACACAATTAGCCCCCTGGGCAGGCGGTGGGACACCCTTGCAGCCTGGGATCCCCGTCCTGCTGACATTCAAGCTGGTTGTTAGGAGCCACCTGACGGCCACTTTTATATTGTTTCTTCCTTGCGGAGTGTCTAGGGAGGGGAAGCAGCCGCAGTGCCGGAGGCCAACTTCCAGGAGGCCAGCAGCACTGTCAGGATTGTTTGGTGCCTGGCCTGTTCTCCAGAGATTGGACCTGCAGGACTACTGAGGGAGTGAGTGGCTGCTGCCTGGCTGGTGGGCCGCTGGGCCAGGTGGGTCAGCTGAGTGACATTCCCATGTGGGAGCATACGGACCACAAGGGGCAGCTCCTGTGTTGAGCATCTGCCCCCTGATGGTCAGTGCGCATCATAACGACCGGTCGTTCAGTCACTTAGGCTTTTATATATTTAGATAGTTCCAATCCACATCAGTCCAAGTAAAATTATCCTGGATATTATTATCTCTCATATACAAATGCTTATTGTTCCTCTCAGATATTACACTATGGCGATCACTGTGCTGGGCCCTCTGAGGAAAACAAATACAGATAAGAATCTATCCCTGCCCTCAAGTAACTTACAATTGACCAGGAGAAATGAAACAAGGTGGTGACAGCACTACTATGGACAAACGGCAGCATACTATACCACATTCCATCTAATTGGGGGTAACCGCCTGCACTTTAAATTTTCTATGAAAGGAAGAAACAAAATTTAGAAGACATATTTTAGCAACTGGGGCTTGAAGGATGTATGCTGAAGAGTGTAGATAGATGGAGGAAAGAAGGAAAACCACCCCTTGTGAAACTACATGAGCAAACGCACAGGAGAAATGGTGGGCAGCCCGCCCCATGATAGATAAAGACCTTCCCTATACAAAAGGCAACATTTGGGTGGATGGTGCAGCCAAGTTGTTAAGGGGCCACAAAAGGATAACAGCATCCTGCTTCTTAATCCTTTATCATCTTGGTGGCTTTCTAATGCACACATGGTCAAGGTACCTTTTCATCTATTGAATCTTGCTGTCATGCCTCCATAGCTTGGTGGCCTTGTAAACTCAAGTTGTGAATACAGCTGGGCAGGCGTGGCTCAGTGGTTGAGTGTCGACCTATGAACCAGGAGGTCACGGTTCGATTCCCAATCAGGACACATGCCTGGGTTGCAGGCTTGATACCCAGTGTGGAGCATGAAGGAGGCAGCCAATCAGATTCTCTCTCATCACTAATGTTTCTCTCTCTCCCCCTTCCTCTCTGAAATAAATAAAAATACTTTTTTTTAAAAAAGTGAATTCAGCCGTAACCGGTTTGGCTCGGTGGATAGAGCGTCGGCCTGTGGACTGAAGGGTCCGGGTTTGATTCCGGTCAAGGGCATGTACCTTGGTTGCGGGCATATCCCCAGTGGGGGGGTGTGCAGGAGGCAGCTGGTTG